CTCCTTCAACTCTTTCAACTTAGGCGGGGCCATACGATACGGCGGAATAGAAATGGGCTGAGTGCCCGGAGCCAAATCAATGCAAAAGTCGATATCCCTGTCGGGTGGCATACCCGACAGGTCTGAAGGGAATACCTCAGGAAACTCACGAACAACCGGCACAGACCCAATAGAAGGAACCTCAGCACTAGAATCACGAACATAGGCCAAATAGGCCAAATACCCCTTCTCGACCATACGCCGAGCCTTCACATAGGAGATAACACTACGGGTAGAATGACCAGGAGTCCCTCTCCACTCCAAACGAGGTAAACCCGGTAAGGCTAAAGTCACAGTCTTTGCATGACAGTCCAAGATAGCGTGATAAGGTGATAACCAGTACATCCCTAATATGGCACCGAAATCATCCATGTCCAGAAGAAGCAAATCTACACGAGTCTCAAGACCTCCAATAACCACCATACATGAATAATGGACGTGATCCACTACAATAGAATCACCCACCGGCATAGACACATAAACAGGGTCACTCAAAGAATCACTAGGCATGACCAGATACGGCGCAAATAAGACCGAAGCTTCTCTACCACAAACCAGAACAACACCTGCACCTCCACCTCTAATACCTCTACCTTCGCCTCTAGCATCTCTATTTCCACCTCTAATACCGCTACCTCCCCCTCTAATACCTCTCTCTGAGTGATGTAATAGACACATAAACAGGGTCACTCAAAGAATCACTAGGCATGACCAGATACGGCGCAAATAAGACCGAAGCTTCTCTACCACAAACCAGAACAACACCTGCACCTCCACCTCTAATACCTCTACCTTCGCCTCTAGCATCTCTATTTCCACCTCTAATACCGCTACCTCCCCCTCTAATACCTCTCTCTGAGTGATGTGGAGAAACTTCTCCAGAAATAGCTGCGTGAACTGCTCCTAAGTCGAAGCTGGCGATCCGGCTAGTCTAGTCAAGCAATAATCTCTCCACCAAGTCTTGGCGGATCCAGACAAGCGAAAAGTAGCAAAATCGACCCCATTGTTCTCAACTATCCCCATGTTTCTGAGAACCTCATGACAGCTGTGTTGATAATCCTGGGGATCCTCAGTAGATGCACCGCTAAATGTAATAGTGAAGAGCTTGGGGAAACTTATCCAATCTCCACAAAGCCTCCGAAGACGTAGCTGATCTATCACCGGTCTGTGCTGCTGCCCGACTGAAGAAGCGGTACATGACCTCTCCATTCGCGAAAGGACAAGAGTAGAGGTTTCAATTTAGCATTGAGAGAACAAAATCGCACGACAGGAAAGAATGAATGTGAAGTTTTTCCTAACTCTGTAGCCTCTGGGGGATAAATACAGACGTCTCCGTACCGATCCCTCAGACTCTACTAAGCTTGTCTGTGAACTGTGAGACCCATGTAACCTAGAGCTCTGATACCAACTTGTCACGACTCGGATTTTCCACCCTCGGGAATCGTGATGGCGCCTACTAATGTGGGCTAGGCAAGCCAATTATGTGAACAACTTACCTTTTTACCCATCTTATATTCATTAACAACTGCGAAGTAATATCATTTAAACAGCGGAATTGAACATAAGCAGAAGAAAAAGCAATAAGCTAGCTGAACATGAATCCAATACAATTGTTTGAGTCTCGACTACCCAGAACTGGTGTCACAATTTCACAGACGGTCTAAGAATACTACAAATAAAGGGGCTAAAAGAAATAAATACAACACTGTCTCTAGAAATGTATGAAAGAAACAGGAATAGTAGATAGAAGGAGACGCCAAGGCCTGCGGACGCCTGCAGGACTGCCTCGGGGCGCCTGATGAGCAAGAATCAGCAATCCCAGTGCGGTCCGAAGTCTACAACACTGGGGTCTGCACAAAAGAGTGCAGAGTGTAGTATCAGCACAACCGACCATGTGTTGGTAAGTGCCTGGCCTAACCTCAGCGAAGTAGTGACGAGGCTAGGACCAGACTACCAAATAAACCTGTGCAATTTAACTATATACAGCAGAAAAGAAGTACAGAAAGAAACATTCATATACAGTCAAGTATGGGAGGGGGGAAAACATGCTGCGGGGAAACATCGAATAGTAGCAGAAGAGCAACAAGTAAATATGAGGATCACCACAGTTCAATTGAAAATAGGAAGGGGAAATCATGCTACGGGGTACAACAAGTATCAACAGGAAACCATCAATTTAGTGTAGAGAAACCGTAACACAGTTATCAATAAAAATTAGGAAATCAAAGACAAGTGCACGGCATCACCCTTCGCGCTTTTACTCTCTCTAACCAAAACAATACACGGCATCACCCTTCGTGCTTTAACACTCTTCCTCACCAAAATAATACACGACATCTCCCTTTGTGCTTTACGCTTTTCCTCACCCAAACAACAATCACAAGAAAAATTAGGGTAAGGGAATCTATAACCTTGAAATAAAACCAAATAACAACAGAAAATCAGTAAATAAACGTAAAGGACAACAAAACTCAATTGTCAGCAAGAATCAGGGAAATCAAAGACAGTGCACGGCACCACCCTTCGTGCATTTACTCTCGTCCTCACCATAAGAATCAATACAATAGGCACGGAATGGTACGTCGTGCGGCACGGCATCACCCTTCGTGCTTTACACTCTTTCCTCACCATGAAATCAATATAATAGGCACGGAATGGTACATCGTGCGGCACGACATCACCCTTCGTGCTTTACACTCTTTCCTCACAAAACAAACAATGCACGGCATCACCCTTCGTGCTTTAACTCTCTTCCTCACCCATACAACAATCACAAATAATAGGGCAAAGAAATAAAGAAAATTTGCAATAAGAATCCCGGCAAGGGAGCAACAAGTCAACAATTAAATCCCGACAAGGGAACAACATCAATAACATCCACATCCTGGCAAGGGGAGATAACAAATAAATCAACAATAGCCCGGCAAGGGTGACAACATAATGATCTCTTCTCTTTCTCACTTTTACTTCACAATTCACTTCACAACTCGAGCAAATGCTCTAGAGGTTCAACTATCACTTATATTTTCACAATTCATGTCACATCTTGTGGCAGGCGTGCCACCCGCTCCCATTTCATTATATCTTGTGGTAGGCGTACCACCCGCTCCCAGTTACAACCAACAATAATCACAAGGAATCCCGGCAAGGGAACAAGAACAACATAATAACTTTCCGATAAGGGAACAATGATAATAATAACATGTGAGGCATAATAAACCACAACGGAGTCATAACAGATTATAACACAAGACTCACGGGCATGCTTGACACCAACGTGTAGATACTCGTCACCATGCCTATACGTCGTACTCCACAATTAACATGTAGCAAATATACACGACTCCTAATCCCTCAAGCTAAGGTTAGACCAAACACTTACCTCAAACTTCCACGGTCAACTCAAGCCTCAAGCACCGCCTTTCCTTTCGAATTTGGCTCCAACACAATTGTATCTATGCATAATCGATTCAATAACATCAATAAATGCTAAACAATCCAATTCCAATGCTTAATTATAGCTTTCTAATCATTCTTCCCAAAAATCCAAAAATCGACCCCGGGCCCGCTTGGTCAAAACACGAGGTTCGGACCAAAATCAAATCACCCATTCATCCACGAGCCCAAATATATTATTATTCACAGAATTCGACCCCAAAACAAGTTCTAAATCACAATTAATCAAAAAGCCCTAGTTCTACCCAAATCCCTAATTTTCTACCCTTAATCTCATGATTTAGGCCTAGAAATCTAGTGGGTGTTGATGGAAAATGAAGAAAATGAGTCTAAGATTACATACCTATGAGTTTGTGGTGAAATCCTTTTTCAAAAATCGCCCAATCTGGAGTTGAGATGAAGAAGTTATGAAATTTTGAAGAAGTCCCGTAATGACTACTGTTTTAAAATCACTGGGCAGACCTTCATCGCGTTCGCGATGGGTCTGCCGCGTTCGCGAAGAGCAGCCTTCCTCAGGCTTATGCTATCGCGAATCCTCTTACGCGTTCGCAAAGGGTTGGCCCCCCTGACCCTCGCGTTCGCGGGCCTATGAACGCGTTCGCGTAGAGGAATGTTCACTTCCCAGACTAGCCCCCTATTTACACTATGCGTTCGCGGGACGTGGGTCGCGTAGAGCAACCCTCCAGTGCTCCGTGTTCGCGATCCTTCCCTCGCGTTCGCATTGAACAAAATCACCCTTGTCCCCATTTACCTTACGCGATCGCGAGAGTGACTATGCGATCGCGAAGAATAACAGGCCTGTGCACCTGTTGCAGATTTTCTGCAATTTTTCCGAAGTTTAAAACTTCCCGAAACACATCTGAAACACGCCCGAGCCCTCGGGGCTCCTAACCAAACACACGTACTAACTCAACAACATCATACGAATTTATCTGTGCGATCAAATCGCCAAAATAACCTCGATAACAACGAATTAAACCTCAAAATCAAAGGATTTTTCTCAAACTTCATAAAACATCAACTTTAGCAATTTAAGTCCGAATCACGTCAAATGATATCCGTTTTTTATCAAATTTCACAGAAACATCTTAAATCATATATGAGACCTGTACCGGGCGTCGGAACCAAAATACGGGCCCGATACCATCGTGTTCTAATCAGATTTCATTTCAAATTTCCTTAAGCCATTTCAGAAAACAATTTTTCTTTAAAAATTCACTTCTCGGGCTGGGACCTCGGAATTCGATTCCGGGCATACGCCCAAGTCCCATATTTTCCTACGGACCTTCCGGAACTGTCGAGTCACGCGCCCGGACTGCGCACACAAATCGAGGTGGGGCTAAAAGAGGTTTTCAAGGCCTCGGAAACACAGAATTAAATTTAAAAACAAGTGATGACCTTTTGGGTCATCACAGCATATGAATGTCTTCTTGCCTATGGATAGGATGTACCCATTTTCTTGAGTGCGCAAGTTTCTTTAGTTTTGGCTCTATATTAACCTTTAGTTATCATCTATCAAGGGCTCCACGTATGGTGCATTGGGATTGTGTCTTGCGTACCGCAATCTCTGATATCGAGGTGAGCCAAGTCGTCCTTCAGTATCAAGTTTTAGATGGTGTGGCAAATACTTCTTATACACTGTAGAATCTGCTTGCTTGTTGTAGGTTGAATATGCAGACATCAAGGAGAAGACATTTCTGAATGTTCCTGGATATGAAGAGCCTGTGGAGTTCGGGGTGCTGACATCATTTGCTTACCCCTTGGAAGGTGGCCTTGGTGAAATTGTTGTGGCGACCACCAGAATTGAAACTATGCTTGGTGATACTGCAATTGCTATACATCCTGAAGACAAAAGATACAGTCACCTTCATGGGAAATTTGCTATTCATCCATTCAATGGAAGAAAGCTTCCAATAGTTTGTGATGAAATTCTTGTAGATATGAACTTCGGGACTGGTGCTGTTAAGGTACTTTATATCCTTATATTTTGAATGTGGAGAAACAATTCCTTGTATATCCAAATATCCATCATTGCTTATGGACCATTTCTCTGAATATCCTTGCAGATAACTCCAGCCCATGATCCTAATGATTTTGAGGTTGGACAGCGTCACAAACTTGAATTCATTAGTATTTTTACTGATGATGGGAAAATAAATAGGAATGCAGGTGCATACTTTGAAGGAATGCCTCGTTTCAAAGCTCGTATATATGGAAATTTGTTCTTATTTATGACAATTTATGAGGTCTTGCATGTAAAAAATCCATGGACGTCTTCATCAAAAAATAAAAAAAGATCCATGGATGTGATATACCCACTAGCATCAGAAATATCCATGTTTGTACCCATGTCTATCCAGCATGAGTATGTCAAGGTATATGAAGAAATTGAAATATAGTAGCCATAAAGGTTGGTCTACCTTTATATATTCTTTCTCTGTTTGAACCCATAATTCCATGTCCAGGAAAAGGTAAACAAATTGTTCTCAGGCATGTGTTAGCATAAATGAAAGAGTATTTCGACAATGTAAGAAGTGTGTTGTACATGTTCTAAAAAATATATATTCTATTGGGCATTGTGTTTATGACCATTCTGTACAATCCATGGTTCAAATTTGATGGGTGCCTAATATACAAGTACCCTTCAAATAGAATTTCCAATTTGCTATATGTATGTGCGCGCGCACACGCGCGTCTCTCTACATATGTATTTGCTATGTGTGTGTCTGTCTGCACACAAACACACAAATACATGTGCTATATGATAGTATAGCCTAGGCCAACATACTTAAGATGATTTATTATAAAAAATCCTGTATTAATTATTATTAAAGTATCATCGAAATATTGGCTTTTCATATATTTTCATATACTGTAGATGATTTTTTTATGTTATGCGTTTATCAAATATGAATAATACTAGTAAGTCTATGTAAAAAACTTCAGATGTCCCAAAACAGAAAATGTCATATGTATCAGGGCGGAGGCTATGATTCCCTATTACAACCACTACACTCAGAACTAGGGAAATTAAGACTTACATGGCATGAGCTGCATTCAGCTTATTAACGAAAACAAGTTATCCGTAGGGTCTCAGTAGCAGAGGATCTATTAGCAGATCTCCAGAAGCCTTGGTAGCGGTTCTCCATCTTTGAACTTCCGGTTCAATGAGTGTCCAGGTCTTGCTGTTTGCGTTTCTTTTTCGAAACTTTGTTTACCACGAGCATATAATACACGAGTCAAATTAACACCTTATACTTCAGACCTAGTAGACTCCATAACATAAAGTGAGATGGATTATGAGTATTTTATTACTTGGAATTGGGTGAAACTACATTCTGTTCCAACTTGTTCTTTTTGGTATGTAACATCATGTTTGACTTTTAGCTTTATGAGTTCTTGAGACTTTTGAAGTGTGCTTAAGTTTGTTACTTATGGAGCTATGTTATGTAAAATGGGGCATAGGGCTTTTTATGAGAGACTTGAATAATTCAAAGATAGTAATCTGGGATAATGGGATAAGACCTATGTTGCGCGGACTCTCCAAAATGCTGCCGCACCCGTGTTGGATCCTCCAAAAATACACTACTTTTGAAAGATCCGACACGAATCCGGCAACATCTTTGGAGAGTCCGAGCAACATAGGACATGACTTAGTTGAGTAGGATGTGGCTAAGATGTGATGTCTGGTTCATGTTACAGGGTCTCTACAGGGGTGCTAAGGATAATGAGATGCGCCTTGGGATTTGTTCAAGAAGCAATGATGTAGTGGAACCTCTTATAAAGCCCCAGTGGTTTGTCAACTGCAAAAATATGGCCAAACAGGCTTTGGATACTGTTATGGATGATGACAATCGGAAAATGGAGATCATCCCAAAACAATATGCTGCTGAATGGAAAAGGTACTTTTGGATCTGGCCCCTAAAAATGCTTTGATTAAATGACTGCAATGGTTTAAATGAGATGCTAATTTGTGTCCCCATTACCCTACCCATGTGTAGACTAGTGCATTTTGATGGGTCTAATGACTGTTTTAGGTTCTTCTATTCGTTATTGTCTTGTTCGTGGTGGAAATGGATATTCTATCATTTACTTTTGTGCAATTATCTCATCAGATATAGATGTGTACATGCAAAAAACTTGGTTGTGTTTTTTGTTATGGATTTTAAATATAAACTTTATAAAGGATGTTTTGTGCTCTTTTCTTGATTCATCACTTGCTTAAAAATCTGTTGTGTTCCATGTCACAAAGACTTGTGTGGTGAACATGCAGATGGCTTGAGAATATTCGTGATTGGTGCATCTCAAGACAGCTTTGGTGGGGTCATCGTATTCCTGCTTGGTATGTGACACTGCATGATGATAAGCAGAAGGAATTTGGTGTTTGTGATGATCACTGGATTGTTGCTAGAAATGAAGAAGAGGCTCGAGATTTGGCTTGTAGGAAATTTTCAGGGAAGGAGATTGTTGAGCTCTCTCAAGATCCAGATGTGCTGGATACCTGGTTTTCATCTGGTCTTTTCCCATTATCTGTATTGGGGTGGCCAGATGATACTGCGGATTTAAAAACATTTTATCCAACTTCGGTTCTTGAAACTGGACATGATATTCTCTTCTTCTGGGTTGCACGTATGGTGATGTTGGGGATAACGCTGGGAGGTGACGTACCATTTACGAAGGTTAGCAAACTTCATCATCCCTCGTAGAAAATGCCAATTTTTCTTATTGAGATTTATGCTATAAGTGGAGTCTGATTCTTTGAATCTATTTTAGGAGCAGTTGATATGCTAAGATAGTTCTGTTTCCATGATCCATGGCTTTTTCAGTGCTTAAAACAGAATTTTAAGTAGAGTGCTTCTGAAAGTTAAATTTTCTTTTTATCTACTAAAAAAGACAAAAAAATCCGCATTTTATCTACATGTAGTAGTTATGTAACTTGATCTTTCTGTTGAGATCATAACAGATCTTATTTATTTTAATATGTTTTGCAGGTTTATTTGCATCCAATGATCCGTGATGCACAGGGACGTAAGATGTCCAAATCATTGGGAAATGTTGTTGATCCTCTTGAAGTTATTAATGGAATTACCCTTGATGATCTTCATAAGAGATTAGAGGAGGGAAACCTGGATGCCAAAGAACTTGAGAGGGCAAAAGAGGGACATGCAAAGGACTTTCCTAAAGGTATTCACGAATGTGGTGCAGATGCTCTTCGATTTGCCCTAGTCTCATATACTGGCCAGGTTAGTCACATTTGTGTCTTGAAATTTAATAAGATGTTTCTTTGGAACTTTCTTTGGATATTATTAACTTTTTTGTTTTGTCCTTCCAGTCCGATAAGATCAATCTGGATATCCAGAGAGTGGTTGGGTATCGTGAATGGTGTAACAAACTATGGAATGCCATTAGGTTTGCCATGTGTAAACTGGGTGAAGATTACACCCCTCAGAAAAAGATAGTTCCTAGTGAAATGCCTTTTAGCTGCCAGTGGATACTCTCAGCGCTTAACAAGGCCATAGCGAAAACTGTCTCATCCCTTGAATCTTATGATTTCTCCGATGCAGCAACAGTGGTATATTCATTTTGGCAGTTCCAGTTGTGTGATGTGTTTATAGAAGTAATCAAGCCATACTTTGCCAGTGATAATCCAGAATTTGTATCTGCAAGAAGATTTGCTCAAGACACTTTGTGGCTTTGTTTAGATAATGGGTTGAGATTACTTCATCCATTTATGCCGTTTGTCACCGAAGAATTATGGCAGCGGCTTCCTGCTAGCGGGAATTCTATAAAGAAAGAATCTATAGTGATAAGTGATTATCCTTCAACTATAAAGGTATGATTTAAGCACAAATTTTAAAAACCAGAATATTAGATACATTACCTCCATTGGTGTCTGTTAAAGTGTAGTTTTCCCCCCCCTTCTTATCCTCTATCTTTTTGCCGTTGGTTCTGGTGTGATGTTCTAGAGTCTTAATGATTACTCTGAGTTGTATGGTATCTATTTTCGAAAAATCTATGTATCGGATCACGCATGTATGTTGTTAAACTTCTCATCAAGTATGTGTGAAAAGAAACTTATGTACGCAATTTGTTTTTCAAGAATATGTATTTGGAATATGTTAGCTTGCTTGAGGGTCTGAAAAAGGCTGATTATCAAGATGAGTCTAGTAGTGGAAAACAGGTCTTAATATAATGCTCCATGCTAGCTGCTAACATGATTATTATGTTGTTTAATGTCCATGTTATTTGACGTCTGTTCATTTCTTCAGAGCTGGAATAATGATAGTGTGGAAGCTGAGATGGAAAAGGTTTCATCCATCGTTAAAGGACTGAGGTCGAAGAGGGCATTGTTGCCTCCAAAGGAGAGATTTGCAAGGTAATCTTCTGTCTTCTAGGTGAACTTAATCTTTTCATATAAAGAGCATTTCAAGTGACATTTTTTGGTTCCCTTTGGTAATTGTTTGAGGGAAAAGTTATATGGTATGACAACTTAAAAGCAAATTTGTTCTCTATGATGGAAAGAGTTAAAAGTAGTCTTAGTTTGGGTTGGAGTATATTAAAAATAAAGAAGTTTCAAGTGCCTTTTCATTAAATAATCGACAATCAATGAATTAGTTAATTTTTCATTCCTAATGCAATCTCTTATCTTGGTTGTTCATAATATCAATCTTCCTTGCCCATCTTTAGAAGATTGGAATTTGCTATTTCAGCTTTCATACAGCTGCAGTTGATATTATTGTTGAGTTGTAATTTCTTTAGGGACCTATGCTAAATTCCACAAGATAAATAATGTATGATACTTGAACGAAGGATACCAACATGCTATGATCTGCTTGTTTATGTGTTTGTGAATCATTCAAAAAGTGATACATCCTTTTAATGCATACAAGTGACTTCAAGAGAGATTGATATGTTAGGCTCTCTTTTTATGGCTTGATGTGATAGTCTGGTTTGGAAAAGAAAAAAGCTTTTCATAAAGACAATAACGACTTTTAACTTTCCAAACTAACAGTGGAATCTTGCTATCCTCAGGCTGGAAGCAATTGTGCTTTGCCGGACAACTGATACCGTGGAGGCCATAAATAAACGCAAAATGGAGATTTGTACTCTAGCTACATTGTCATCTTTGAAGGTATCTCTCTCTGTCTTGTTTGTTTGTTTTTTATCCGAAACATCTTCATCTCCTCCTTATGGTATCTTCGCGGTTTGTGAAAGAAGAGAAAAGATGTATTGGTATTGTTGCTTATTTATGGTCTGATTTGAGAACGATGGTTTATAATTTTGTTTTAATTGAACATCGGTATTACCTGGAAAATAAATCCAACAAATGCATGTGGTTTGTGAGTTTGCGCAACTGCGCTGTAAAAACTAGTTTTGTCGTTTTGCAATTGCATAAAAAACATGTCATTCATCCTTGCCTTCCCTATTATTTTATGATAAAGCAAATGATTTTATTAATAATGGAAAAATTTCCCGGGTACAGAAGTATACTAATAAGTAGAGAATCTACATGCTTATTTCGTTGATACCTTTCCTTTTCCACACGGTATGAAGCTGGAAATAGCAGAAAAGACCATGTGATGGCATATGCATTGGTTTTCAATTATATTTTCTCATTTTTCTTACTGCCTAGCTACTTTTCTTGCATTAATTTTCACCAGGTCTCAAGTGACAGTGATGAAGCTCCAACATCTGTCACAGTTTTTCTAGAGGAAAAAGGGACTACTAGTAACTCAGAGGCTGAAGTTGAAAGGCTTGAAAAGAAGAGAGAAGAGACGAGGAAGTAAGTGAAATTTCATAGAGAAGTATTGTTTGTTTGCAGAATTGTTTTTCTAACTAGTAGAATAAGTGCCTCTGAATTTCTCCCCGGAGCTAAACAATCTTTATTTTCTGTCAAACAGAAGCATTTCCGTTTCAAAAAAATAAAATAAAAAATTAGTAAAAGATATTGCGTAAAAGATCAATTTATGTTTTCACTAGATGTTAATATACAACTGGCATGTTATTCCTTTGATTAATCCGAAATCATGTTCCTCCTTTCCCCCTGTGTTCTGCAAGTGAGTGCTTTCATCCCAAGGTATTTGTACCAACTTCTGTTCAATCAGTGCTTCCATTTGAAGAATCGTGCAGAATGTCATTTGGCTTTTGTTCACTCGGCTGTCTTCATTCAAAAGTGAACTCAAGTGGATATTGTGAAATTTGAGTCAGTTTATATTGTGAAGTTCACAAGCAGTTCAATTTGCCATGTACAATGTACTAACTCTTTCTTCTTTTGCAGGCAGTGTGAAAACTTAAGCAAAATCATGAGTGCCTCTGGCTACAAAGAGAAAGTTCCGCCTAACATCCATGAAGACAATATAGTGAAACTTAGTGTCCTAAAGCAAGAAATGGAATCAATTGAAGAAAGTATTGAGCGTCTCATGTTAAATTGAGGCGCAAAATATTAAGTCTCATATTTGTGATATACCAAGGTGGTTTTTGTAACTTTTCTTTTGCAACACTTCTAATATCTTTGTAACGTTATTGAAGTTGGTACAGATGGGCTATTTGCTACTAAAATTCTCTTGTAAATAATAATTTACCAATTAATTAAGCAACAACTTTTGATCATCAGACTTGGTGTAGATCTCCTTACAAATGTAAATTAAAAGATTAAAGTCGAATTATAGTTAAACTTTTGACTTATTTAATTTCAACATTATATGATATTATTAACATACCTGCCTTCAATTCAAAATTGCTGAAGATATTGATAAATGCGGACATATTGCCTTATGAAGGAGATGAAAGACGCTTGAGGAGTTGCTATTGCAATCAAGTCTTTTCTTTTGTGGGTTAATATATATCTGAAAATGAATACTAGTGCTTAAACTGATATAAAAAAGATAGCTGAAAAATGAGTAGTAGAAACCGTTAAAGCTGATAACAAACAATTTGATCAGATTTTTATTTCCTTCACTTTTTACAGAGTAAACATCTGAAGATAGTAGACCAAATTGAGTTAGTAGAATTTAGAGGCTAATGTCTTTAAAATTCCCATTTCCCTGAAATTTAAAAAATGTTTTAAGTTGTGATCAACTAATATCCTAAAATTAATAAGAGTGACACATCGATCAAAAGAAGACATAGGGTAGCGACTTCGAAACATTCTATTGAGGTAGAAATTGTAATACTTTCCAATTAACAACAAAGCTTCAAAAAAAAAAGGACAAAACAAAGAAGACGACATTCTTTATGAGTTTGTACAAGCTCTAGATCGAAGACTTTCTATTTTTAAAAACTAATTATTTCAGATCGAAACGTAAACAACAATATTTTATATCTATTTTTCTTGATGCTGAGCTAAACTTGAGTACTATTGATTAGGCACCAATACAGAAGGCAATGAGTGAATATCCACTGGTCCAAGTCGGATGGAAAATGGAAATTACCAAGATCAACTGCATATCCACAGCCAAAATGAACACAAGTACACAACCAATTGAAACTATTGATATTAACTATGCTTATGTAAACTCGCATTCCATCCTTCGCCAAATAACATTGTACTTTACTAAATAAAAGTATACTTTATCTAATAGCTTAATATGCTTTTAAATAAGACAGTTACACGATTCAACAAAATATATTTTTAAAATTTTAATAAAATCCATGGCAGTAGCTCACATGAATTCGGCTATATTACTGCTACCCTAAAAAGAAGTGCTTTGTACAGAGATGAAAAGTCCCAGTTCCACTCATGTATATATGTACTAGTGGCCGGCAAGTAATGTTTTTGCTAGGCTAAGCCAACCCAAATAAATTCTTTACATATATAGTGTTATATTGTTCGTTTTGGTCGAAGCCTAAATAGTTTTTTCTCAAAAGCCAGAGACTGTTTGATTCAAAGACAAGTTATACATGAATTAATAATACAAAGATTAGTAATGCTGGAATTAATAATTTGGGGATTAATAGTACATGAATTATTTCTTGTTGGGTGTTTAGTTCATTCCACTAAAATTGAGTATACAAAGTATCATCTAAATTATCTGTCTGCCTTTTAAACTAAAAAATAATGAATTTACAATTATACCCTAGGATTTTTAGTCTTCATAGGCTTTTTGGAAAAAGATAAAAAGATAATTTTATCCTTATGGCGCTTTTTCCATGTATAGTTTATACATGGATTAGTTATTCTATGTTGATGGTGGGATAAGATAATACACCAATTGATGTATAAAATAATACATGAATTAGTTATCCTATATTTGAAATTATAATCAAATAATGTATTAACTTTATACACATTCTTATACCATGATTCATTGCCTTATACATTATACCAAACGAACCCTAAGGGTATTACTACGCGTTATATGTAGCTTCTTTTTATCAAGGTCTAATGTGGGACTTTATTCGCATAGTAGGTTACTTGTCTCATTTTTTAGATTGGTATCATTTTTGTAAATTACCTGTAGTCGGGAAAAATTTAAAAATAGCCAGATTTACAACTGGTCATTCAAAAATAGCCCAGTTTCAAAAGTAATCGAAATTTAACCACTTTTCATGTAAAGATAAATCTGAGCGAAAACACTGTTCAAAATCCTGAAAATACGCCCGCATATTATACGAGAGTTCCAGCATAAGTATGCTTGAACTCCCGCATATTATACGGGAGTTCCAGGATAACTATGCTGGAACTCCCGTATAATATGCGGGAGTTCAAGTATAATTATGCTGGAACTCCCGCATAATATACTGGAGTTCCAGCAAGTATAAATGTCCAGTATAATATACTGGAGTTTGGAGCACCGGTGCTCCAGTCTCCCGTATATTATACAGGAGTCAGCAAAGTATACCGGTCCAGCATAATATGCTGGAGTTCGTACACAAATACACCGAACTCCCGTATATTATACGGGACCGGTCTCTGTTGCAGCAAAATAGTGGCTGTTTTTCATTAACTTGGTAAACGCTGGCTATTTTTGATTGACCAGTGCGAAAACTGGCTATACCGTGCTATTTTGACGTTATTATTAAGTAGACTTAAGGGGACTTTACATAACTGTCACAGTTTAAAAGAAATATTGCAAATTTTTAGCATTAAATTCAATATTACAGATATGGCAGGAAAATATTTATATTTGTAGCACACAGTTCCATTAAAATAGAAATATTAACTATTAATCCCTAAACATAAGAAATTTGAATGGAAAGTTAATAATTATTTGTACAAAAATCATGTCTTTTTCTCTCTCTTTATCTATTAGCTTTCCTTCTTTTTCTTCATCTTCTTAGTTTTGTTTTCTACCGAAGCCAATATATTTTTTAAATTTGTTCCATTCATTTTATTTTTAGTTATCTTTCTTAAGTTTTTCTCTTACTTCTTTCTTCCTTTCTTAATATAAAGCTCTTATTTCGATAATAATATACGTTAATATATACAATACATATATATAAAAATATACTTTGAATTAACACATATAAAATATACAAAACAAATACATAAAAAATACATCTTCAATTAAGATGACACTTAGACATGTGAAATATACATAAAAATATATATCTTAAATTTAATTAAGATGGTATATAAATATACAAAAAATAATATATATATATATATATAATGACACTTGACATATAAAATATACTATACATTAAAAATACCGCTTAAAATAAGATAGCACTTCACAAATAAATATACAAAAAATATATACATAAATATACATTTTGAATTAAAGTNCATAAAAATATATATCTTAAATTTAATTAAGATGGTATATATATATATATATATATATATATATATATATATATATATATATATATATATATATATATATATATATATATATATATATANTGATTGTGAACCCAGTTATTATTTCATATTAATCTGAAATTACGGTAGGAACCCATAATCCTCAAATCCTGGATCCGCCTCTGTATATAATGACACTTGACATATAAAATATAATATACATTAAAAATACCGCTTAAAATAAGATAGCACTTCACAAATAAATATACAAAAAATATATACATAAATATACATTTTGAATTAAAGTGATACCTGATATACAGAGTATAAAAGATGTATAAATCAATACATCTTGATTTAGGTGGCATTGAGATATGCAGCAGCTTTTCAAAATATGGAGTGAAGAAGATGAATGCTGTAAAGGGAAAATGAAGATGGACAAAAAAAAAAGTACTTCCCGTGATTAGTGAGTGAGTTAACTTATTAGATGTTGAGCTTAATTTTATAATGTGTCATTAATGAAAAAAAAGTGCTCTTTATGGAATAAACAATAAATGGTGCTATTTTTATAAATAATACTTAAAAAAGGATCAAGCATGTAAAAAACTCTAGACTGACTTAATAGTGTGAAAATTCTTCATTGGATAGAAGTTAAACTCAATACGGATAGACATCTATTAGCCCAAAGAGTGGATGTGCAACGCTGAATATCCTTTTGTACAAAAAACTATTTTATTTGCCCTCGTGTGCAACTGAATAACCAGTAAAACACATGATTGTTGGTTTTATTTTCTTTTCTATTTTTCCCTTGATGCATCTTATCATCCATTTGCTTCCAAAATCTTTTATATTGTGAAGTATCATACGCCATGTGAATGCTAGAGAATGACCATTCATCAAGTAGTCATACAGATTCTTTGCCCTCTCAAAATAAAATTTTGTACAACTATGAAAAATGATGTATGGAACCGAATCAACTTTCATAAATATTTATGCTTTATTGGCATATACAACAAAGATTTCTAACAGATTCGAACAAAAAAAGTAAGTTGTGAAGCTGATAACTGATTAGGTTGTACAAATTCAATATCACAAGTTAAAATACTAATAGCCTGTTTGGCCAAGCTTCTAAAATCAGTTTATGAAGTGCTTTTTTCAAAAGTACTTTTTAAAAAAGTGCTTTTGGTGAGTAGCAGTTTTTGTTTGGCTAATTAATTTGAAAAACACTTTTGACCAATAATTAATGTTTGGCCAAACTTTTGAAAACTGCTTCTATGTGTATTATTCTCAAAAGTACTTCTCAGAAAAGGCTTTTGGAGAGAAGCTACTTTTTTCTGTTCTCAAAAACTGCTTCTGCTTCTTCTCAAAAGCACTTTTTTTCCTTTCAAAAGCTTGGCCAAACACCTCAATTTTTAGTCAAAAATACTTTTGACGAAAAAAAAAAATACTTTTGGCCCAAAAAAAATTTGGCCAAAGAGGCTATAAGTATAAGAATTAGCAAGTGAAGCCATCACTGAACTTTAAGACACAAAAAGTAAAAATGGTAAAGTACAATATGCATGGGATGAAAGGACAAAAATGGTAAAGTACAATATGCATGGTAGAGTACTTTTTTCTGATATATTCTCAAACTTTAATATTACCCATATTTGTAGCCAGATTCAATAGTGTCACCCCCTATCCCACTGCAAACCCCACTTTCACATTTGTCATGGAATTTCTTTTACGTGGGTTTTGCTTCTCTTGAAAATACAATATAAATAGGACTGTTGTAACC